TAATAACATTAAGGCCTAAGAATTAGCAAAAAATTAGGAACTCGAACCCGGTCACCGACCGGGTCTTAAGAGCTAGTCCACCCTCTACTATTTGGCATTTGGTGTCACTAATTTTTTATTAAGCAGGATGGTTTATATGTTTTTGCCTGTGAAGCAGGCAAAAAACATCCTGCATATAAAATCTTAGTGACAGAAAATGTCAAATAGTAAAGAAAAAAAATAATAATAAAAAATAAAATTTTTTATAAATTAAAGATAAAAAAAGCAAGGGACAGAAAGGGAGGGAAGTGGGAAAAAGAGTGGAGAGAAAGCGAAGAGAGGGTAAAAAGGGGAGAAAAGGAAGGTGTGATGGTAGGAGTAAGCGAGGGGTGAAAAAGATAAAGAGCGAAAAGCAAGAAAGAGGCGAAGTGAAAGAAGAGTGAGGCAATAGAAATTTAAACTCCGATTGCGACGAAGTCACGTGACTTCGAATTTCGCATTTTTGCGAAATCGGAGGAGTTTTAAACTCCGCTGAAACGGAGTTTGAAACTCTGACAAAGCGGCGAAGTCACGTGACTTATGGGAATTCAAATTCCCACAAAATTGACAAAATTCAAACTCCGCCTAATCGGAGTTTGAAATTTTGAAAAAAAATAAAAAAAATAATAAAAAATAATAAAATTAAAAATTAAATAAAAATAAACAAAAAATAAAAAAGATAAAATAATAAAATAAACTAAAATAAAAATAAATAAAATAAAGAAATATAATCAAAATAATCCATGGTGATCGTCACCTCCCCTAATTATTTTTAGGGTTAGGGTTAGAAATTAGAGAATTATTTTTTTTTATATAATATAATATAGAGCTACTATAAGGGCCCGATTTCAGTTCTTGTGAGGTTTTTGGGGTTCTGAACATTTTTACTTAGAGCAATCCCATTTACTTAGTACATCTTTGAGATATAGACACCCTGGTGATGATCACCACTGGTTATAATTAGATTTATTCTAAAATAAAATAAAATAAATAAAAAATAAAAAAATAAAAAAAAATAAATAAAAAATAAAAAAGATAAAATAATAAAATAAAATAAAATAAAAATAAATAAAATATAAATAAAATAAAATAAAATAATAAAATAAAATAAAAAAATAAAAAAATCAATTTTTAAAAAAATATTAAGAAATTAAAAAATTAAAAATTAGAAACTCGAACCCAAACAATGACTGGGTCCTAAGAGTTAATATAATTTAAGCCTAAGAGCTAATATTATTAAAATCTAAGAATTAGCAAAAA